CTTTTCTAAACACCTGCAGCCTTCCTGGCCTCAGACCTATTTTTAACCTCAGAAACAAGTATGTTGTCTTTACTGTATTAATAAGGAACACGTTTGAAAAAGCATTTGTGGATTCCACTGACTTAATTTCTCAAACAGTGTTACCTACTGCTAGAAAAAGTGGGGCAGAGACTGTGAGGGTAGGTAGCTACTTAGAATGGCTTATTTAGTCACCTGTCAAGTTGCTAAACTAAGTTGCAGGCATGGAAGTATTCTTCATTTGGACTCTTCTTAAACGTGTTTTTAAAACATACTTAAGAGGGTTAAAGCTATATAAAAATATTTCAATTGAGATATGAATGCTTGGAAGAGGGCTACACAATGAAGTAGGAGAGATGAATAAGAAAAAGACACTACTCTCAACTATTGTTATAAGGGAACGGTGGTGCTGGTGGTAGAAGTAGACTGTGGAATTGATAAAAGAGCATTGAATTAAAGAAATTAGCTCCCCACAAAAGTAATAAAATCAATAAAACAAATAGCCATATAAAATTTCTCAACTGGTGGAAAAACTGTAATGAACTTTAGTGATAGAACCAGGTATGCACAGCTGTTCTGTTTCCCAATTCATACGGTGCTTCTTTTAAGCACTAAATCTGATTTTGGACACAGATATAATATTATTTCAAATGATCGATAAACTTTTTATAAACTTACTTATGCAGGAATAAGGGTAAGATCTGACAAGCACTTCAAAAACTGGTTGTCAGGCCTTTTACGGAAAGCTCCCTCTGTAAAAGCCAACTGCTGTGTCTGGCCTGGCACCCAAGCAAAAGTGCTCCCAAGGACCAGTGCCCAGTGACTGGAAGGGAGGTGTGTGTCTGCTGCAGCCTAAAGCTGGCAAAAAATAGGCATATCCCAGTCCAATTTTATTCACCACATCACTGATCAATTGTGTTAGACTGTTCTCACGACAAAAGTTGTGTTGAGAGTATAGGGGAAAATACAAATTAAAAGTTGGACAGTTAAAACCCATTCTTTGAATGAAGAATGTGAGAAAAATCTTGAGGAAGTGTGTCATCAAAAGAGTTTCAGGGCAAGTTTGAGCTACTTTTAGGGGAAGGCGAGAATCAGCTCTTTGTGAGGAAATAATGCAGGGCCAGGTGAGCCAGCAGGGATCTTGTATCCTTTTTGTTTATGATTTGTTTTGTTCATAGAGATTTTGAGGAGGATGCTTAAATAGTCCAGGCTTTATTCAGACAAGAAATGTAGAAATAATTTATTCAAATTAAAAATGCAGAAATAAAGACTGGAAGCTAAAACATAAAAAAAGAATGGTTGCTGGAATTGGGTATGTCTAGTTTAATAAAAAAGGAGGACGAGGGGGATGATATGATAGCAGTGTTCCCATATTTGAGGGGCTGCCACAAAGAAGAGGGAGTCAACCTATTCTCCAAAGCACCTGAAGGCAGGACAAGAAGCAATGGATAGAAACTAATCAAGGAGAGAAGCAACCTAGAATGTGTTCCTTACCGTTAGAACAATTAAAATAGTGGAACAACTTGCCTCCAGAAGTTGTGGATGCTCAACACTGGAAGTGTTTAAGAAGAGATTGGACAACCATTTGTCTGCAATGGTATAGAATTTTCTGCCTGAGCAAGGGGTTAGACTAGAAGACCTCCAAGGTCCCTTCCAATTGTTATTCTGTACTGGGAGAAATTCTGTGCAAGAATCAAGAAACCATGCAAGAGCCATGTTGACTTCATTTTTTTCTTGCTAGCTTATAATATCTTCCCAAAGGAAAATGTCATTATTATGGTTCTGTCTTCTGTACCTTAAAACATGGTAATGGGAAGAATTTCTGAAATATTTTCCCTTTTTGCTACCTCTCTTTCTCTTATGACTTTACTCTCCCATCTCATATAAAAGGGACAGTGTTCTGATGCCTTCAGAGCAGCTGTCAGGAAAAGGCAGTAGGGCCAAAGGTCTCTTTCTCAGGACATGTTCCAGTTGGCTTCCTTGTCAGACAGCAGAAAAACAGGGCTGCTGACAGCTGTTGTGTGTGTGTGTGTGGGGGGGGGGATTAAACCATTTGCTAAGAACCAGGTGTCATGGTAAAATCGGCTCATATTACCTTATTTATAAATCCTCAAGTAGTGAGCTTGAACAGAGCTCTTGTTGCTTATGTGTGAACAGTCTGAGTGAGGGAGTTTATATTGATGGAAAAATATCATGAAAAGCGAGTGTGTTGCAGGTTTTTTGTTGCATGATCCTCACAGGCATTTTACATGCTGCCCATTATAGGCTCAATAGCTTTCATTCTCTTAACTGCATTTGTAAACATGTCACAGCTTTATATTTTATTATATCTCTCAAAGGTTATGAGTTCTGTATGGAGAGATACATCTTCCAGCCATATATTTCCTTCTGATTTATAACTTACTTGCATAGTACGGCAACTAGCTGCTGCTTGTCCTTGAAATATTTTCTACTTTTACCTGGAATGTCACTTACCAGAATGTAAAAAGATGGTGGAGATTTGTTTTCAGACTAGCAAGTTTCTTTTAATGTAGACTTATAGCTCATCTGTCTTGTTTCATGTCTGGCTACCTGAGAAAGCTGACAATAGTATAGTCTATCCATGAACTTCTGCTTCCAGAAAATTTATAAGTGTGTTCCCTTTCATCAAATTGTGCAAGTGGTCAGAGAAAACCCTCTGGTTTTCAGTGGAAATCAGGATGAAATGACGCAAGATACCTACAGTTTTACTGGAGTAAGATGAAGAACATGTCCAACTGAGCACAGATAAGAACCTTTACTAGGGATTATCTTGTGGCAACAAGAATGCTGAAATGCATTTATTTCTTTGATCCTATTGTGTCCATGGATAGCTGGCTGGTGATCCTAATTCAGATGATTTTTTTCCCTTGTTAAGTAAGCAAGGTCCTGGAGGACTTCTGCAAGAATATTTTGAGGACTCTTCTAGGCATCTATTGGATAAAGTTGGGGAACCAATTTAATGCTATGTACTGAGCATATCCAGAGAGAAGCCCCATTGCTACAAAATGCAGTTTCCATCCTTAGCTTCTTAAGCATTACAATAGGATACAAGTAATAGTTTTGAAAGCTGCTGTTAGATCAAGTAGTACAAGGTCATGCTATCCTTATCTTGTCCATCAGGTAACCAAAGCCATCTCTGTACCAAAGAGGAGTCTAAACTCAGAATATAAAGGATTCAAACAAGCTTTTTCCTTTAATATTTCCTGAAATCAAGGCAGTTCTCCACAGGATCCAGCTTTTTAATTAGAATGACAAAAGCAGTATCATGCAGTCAAATGTTAAGCTGACTCTTAACATTTGATTGATATACAACATCATAGGAAATTTTTAAAAAGGGCAGAAATGATGCCATGTTGCTATTTTTAAAATCTCACCTACCCAACCCCATCCCAACACGTCCTGGGCCTTTGACTATATTATGATTAATGGTTATAACTATAATTTATGAACTATGACCTATCACTTTGTTGTTTGTATGTATACTAAGAGCTTATACACCGGAGACAAATTCCTTGTGTGTCCAATCACACTTGGCCAATAAAGAATTCTGTTCTGTTCTATTCTAATTCTACCTCTATTCCTTTCCCACTAGCTTGGATAAATATGAATGTTGGGTGTTAGCCAATATTCATTGTTTTATAAGCAAGGATCTCACCAAATGATCACTGGTAGGCCAGAGTCTTTTGAAATCCTTATAACTCTTCAATTGGTTAACAGTGTTAAGATATCATGTTTTATTATTAAATTAGTTTGCCGCCCATCTTGCTGAAAGGTCATTTCTGTGAGATCAATCATTTTGGAAATATAATGTGATCTTCAAGTTATTGGGTGGCTCTTTACAGAGACTAAGAAAAGTGCTTCCAAATCTGTGGAAAGAAGAAAATGTATGCTTGTTTCTATGCCCACAAAAGATCTTTCTGCATCTTTTGATTCCTTCTAAGGGCAAAAGTAGTGCTTGTGTTATGCCTATGTTTAATTCATTCGCAGGGGTAAAAAAAACACACTCAAGCATCTCCAGATAACAGTCTCCTGATGGTCTTTAAAACTTGGCTGTTTGCTTTCGGTAGCTGAAACAGAAACATATTTAGTGTAATTAGACAGCACTGGCACTTGTGGTTTTTCTTTTCTTCTAGTTCTATGAAAAGTACACAGCGCCTTCATTGACTTGTCCTAAATTATTAACAGAAGTCAACATTTAAGACAGGTCTGAGGTTGTATAAATTAAACTGAACTCTTTTGAAACTTGGAGGTGGGAGTGGGAGTTAGATTATACATACAGATTCCCATATTCAGGATGGGAATGGATCACAAACCTACTTTCCTTTCATCAAACTCTTGAGTATGCTCCCCATTAGCAAAAGGTTACATTATTTCCTAAATAATTAAAGACTGGGTATTAATCACTTTGATAGTACAGAGTGGTACTATCATTTGAAATAAACAAGGGTTCCATGGGCACAGATTCACATGCCTGAAGAAAGCTTATCCACAGAGATATCCTGATCCCATTGATCTCTTGCATTTATATCTCATCCTTCCTTTCAGAGGGCTGAGTGGTATAAATCGCGTTATTCTACAATATCACGTTATTTTACAAAAGAACCCTGCAAATACAGTAACTGGAACAAAGTCATCACTAAATTCCATGATCAAATAGGACTCAAATCTGGAATTAAAGGCTAGTTGTGGTTATGCAGCACACTTCTTATATTTTTTTCCCCAGAATATAAGGGTTTTGATTTGTCTTTAGTATCAAGATTTTAAATATCTCCTAGACATTTACAATAACTACCAATGGCTCCTGGTATATATTGTAACTTTTGGACACAATACTAATGAAAAGAAGTTTCACTAAATAACTGCCATTATGACTGGTTTCTCCATTTTCCTATGTAGACAATATAAGAGTTTGCTAAAGAACATACAAGCAATCTCATTTGGAGACAGTTTGGAGAGGAATGTCACTTTTATTAATAAACTCTTGCAGAGGTGATCCCTAGAGAAAACTACATTTTTGTAACTTTGTTCAAACACAGTAAGAAATGCAAAATAAAAATACAAAATCAGGAAAAGGTCTGTTAAAACTTGGAGTTTCAGTGAGGCATCCAGAGTTTAAGGCTTTGAAGGCAAAAAAATCAAAGATGAATAATTCTTGCTCATCGGGATGTTGGAGTGATGCGAAAGCTATAGTAACATAGTACTCCTTGGACATATTCTAGTACAGGATGGATTGTGGTGGGTGAGACAGAAGTAAATATTTTTTTAAAGGAACAGTTAAAGCCAGAGGGATAAACTGCCTGTACCAACTCCACTCATCTACATTCAAATCTCACAGTCTGTCTTTTCTTACAAACTTACAACTCATTTTTAACTTCATTGTCAAGTGCTTATTCATTTGCCTGGTGCATAATCCAGGAATTAGTGCTCACAAGGAAAAGCAGAGTTTAAAAAAAATAAATCCAATCACACAGACATACATGTAAGTGCATGTAACACACTCTCACACTTGTGACCTTTATGTTCTGTGGCTACCTGACCTGGAGACAAAAGTGAATACATTTGGCAAACTTGAAGCTTATCCAAACGATCGAGCAAGTACTACCTTAGGAGGCTTCTAGTTCCATTTATGAAATACATTTCGTCAGACAAGTTGTGCTTGTGGTAGTAATGTCTATCTACGTATATGTGTTAACTTGTTCTATAGAAACCATCTACTTCATTGTTTCCTCATCCTGGTCTGAGTCTGAAAAATATTTCTTTCCCTGTTCGTACTTCTTTCTCTCTAGATCTGGACAGAATAGTTTTAGCAATTGAAATGATGAGTCTTGGAATTCAGACCCAGACTGCTGTGTTAAAATCAAACCCTGATTGAGTCTGTTCTATTGTGGTGTGGACCTTGGCATGGGGTTTGGGTTTGGGCTTGGCTTTTCTTCCTTCCTTCTTCTCGCACCTTTTGACTTTGTCTTGAGAGTTTGCTGTGCTCCCACGAATTGGGAAGTAAAACAGCCCCTTCTGTTTGCTGCCTGTTTGCGGCCTCTTTAAGATCTCAGTCTCTTTGTTCTTTGTGGGCAGCCAGCAGGGCTTCTCTCTTAGTAATCTGTCTCTATCTGGCCGGACACTCCTTAAAAATTTCTTGAAGAGATTGGCTGTGAGGGAAAATTTCCTGTAGAATTCTTGGGACTTGCTACTTGGTACAGATGCCTCATTCTTTTCTCCTTTTCTGTCTATCTCTGGCAAATCCAGCCAATTACCAACTAGATCAGCAAAGATGTTATCACCCAGAATCAAAGGTTGTCGGTTCCTACTTTGAGACATTAATGAGCAAGTCCAGTCTTTGGTCTCATCAGAAAACCAACAATCCTTACAAACTGACTTAGTCTCAGACAAGCAGTTGGTGTCTTTAGTAAGCCGACTGCTCGTAGTGTTGTCACTAGATGACTCCAACATTCTTGGTGAATGATACTCTGTTGTGCTTGCAGTTGAAGAAGGTCCACTGTCATCCTCACTACCTATGCTGCTAAGGGATGAAGCAATGTGCCCATGGTTAGTATCTGGCAAAGAAATACGGCAACGTGAGCTAGTAGAGTGTGACACGGGAGTTGAGCATAAAAAGGCTGAAGATCTGCAGTTGTCCAAATAACGTTTTCCCAGCAGGGTCTCACTCTCTTGGCTGGCATCAAGCTTTGCCCTTGGCATCATCTCCTTATTGTTTTGAAAATAATTATGCTGGCCAATTCCTGAAACCTGGTTTGGGTTACTTGAAATCTCCAGCTGTTCCAAAGCTGTCTGGACCTGGAGCAGTTTCAGTTCTTGCAGAGCACCCATCATGCAGTTCATCTGTTCATGCAGCCCGTCCCCAACCTCCTTCATGGATAACTGTTGTAAAAAAAAAAAGACAGAGAATAAATGCAGAATTCACTAACCTGTATAACTGAAATATATGCGAATCAACTTCTGCATCTTACATTTATCGTATTTTCTATTACATTCAACTTTCATCCCGATTTTTAAATGTACAGTTATATAGTTCTCACATTACATGCTTCTGCTTATAACAGATATGTCATATATTCTGAGAGAATTTGATTTGATTACATTAATTGGTTGCATCAATTTAGTCTTGTCTTTTACCTTATCCTTATAGAAAGGATGATGTTAAATAAGAAGCACATACCACATTCTATTCCTTTATTTTCTCAGAATATGATATATTTTTAATCAAACATCAAGAAACATTTGAAGAAATTATCATGTGAAGTTTTATTGTTACCAACAAGAATGTTAAACAGAAGCCACAATCACAAATCTAGCTATGACTCTCATTTAAAAATTCAAGAATCATCTCCACAGTCCCTCACAAAAACGTGTGTGTGTGTGTGTGTGTGTGTGTATGTGTAGGGGGCATACACAACAGACATGCCTGCATTTTATCTGCTGTTCAGGAAAAGTACATTTACATCAATTCAGGACAAGAAATGTATAATCAAATTAAAAATCAGAACAGTGATTGAATGAAAAAATGAATACAAATTCATTAATTAAAATATCATAACAAGATTGTTTTTATTTTCAGCTTTCAGTATTATTGGCAAATTGTCTTCCTGTAACTCAAATATCATGTTAAACATGCCAGTTCTTCCCAACTTCTACTATAACTGCTGTACTTTGTTCTTTTCGGAAAATCTTCCCAAAGCAAAACTAACTGGACATACTTTCTAGTAGCTGCCACTACTCACTCTTTACTCTCTAGAACTGAAGGGAAAGGTGGAATTATTTGATGTTCTGGAATTTTCACAGCCAAGTTTATAAAAACAATAAAAAAACAACACTGACAATCATAACCTGTATTTTGGTCAAACACACTACAATCACTTTTTGTGCAGTGCTGTTGTAATGCAGCTGTACAATTACCACCTGCGTGCATGACTTAAAATTACACCTCCAAAATTATCATGTTACTAAGCATGCTCTACTATCTGCAATTTCCATGTCCTTGGGAGCCAAATGTCACTGACACTGTTCTTCAGAACCCTGTGGCTATATGACCATACAGCTATTTCCAACCACATATTCTATAATAAGTTTCAAAACTGGATTCAGGAACAGCTGAAGTAGAAGCAGGAATCCAGTCTGCCTGCCAGAACATATACAATATACAGCTGCTGAGCATGCTCCTTAAATTGAGGTTCCATTTCAAAATCCTCTTTCTGGCCAGTTTATAGCTAAATATTAAGTTCAAATCAATCAACCTTCTGCACAGTGCACAAGCCACAGCCATCTTCTTTTTATAGACTAGGTTTTATGTTACTCATGTGCAGAACCTGGGGGGGGGGGGAGGGGGAAGAGGGCCGCCTCAGAGAAAACTATCACCTTACCTCTTTCCAGGTTTGTCTACTGTCTCTCTTCCTAATATTTTCTGCCTTGTAAGTGGAACTTTCTTTATCTGAAGCTTTGCAACACTGACCTGGGAAACAGCTTGGATACTCTCATTGGACACTTCCCATCAAATTTCCTTGCAGGCCAAATGGTGTAATCAGACAATGATGAGTGACAATGGGTCCTGCAGTAATGACTGTGGCTGGTAGGAAAGTCAGCATATGCTGCAGAGCTGGGCTGTGCAGTTCACTGATTCAATTAACTCCCCCTTTGGGGGGAAAGGAGGGGGCATCCTCCTAAACTAGATCTCATGTGACAAGGAGCCATTAGGAAATATGAATATTTCAGAAGCCCTTGTTCTCTGATTCTACTGAGAGAGGGGACTGGAAGAAACACAACACTAAGGGTCTTCCCTAGAGAATAAGATTCATCACTCATAACATTATGGCCTGAACAAAGATAAAATTTGTCCAGAATTTAAGGCTGGAATACTCACATGAACTATCTTAAGTGGCATACCTAGAGATTGGATTTCCCCTTTTTTAAACATCCACACAACAATCGTGTGAAGTATATTGGGCTAAAAGAGAATAATTAGCCTACAGGAATCTAGTAATCTCAACATAAGCCTGTGGATTGGAATTTGGGCCTCCTGAGCCCTAGGCCCATACTCTTATTTACTCTACATATTGGAAAGATCTTTCATTGGAGGCCTTGCAAATAGGGGGTGGGTGGGTGGGATAGTATTAGATTATTATTAAGCAACAATGGCATTTCCAATAAAAACTGTATGAAAGCCCACATTTTGCTTCCATTATTTTTTCATTTTCAATTCACTGCTCTACTGCTCCAAGATGGGAACAGTTCTCCTCTTATTCTGGGAATATTGGAGAGGTACCCTTTATTTATTTTATTTTATTTGGTTTGTCAGTTGCTTACAAGATAATAGGTATAAGTAAAAACATAGTTATGAATGCATGGATACATATAACAAAAATAAAAGAAACAATAGGACAGGGACAGTAGGCACGTTGGTGCACTTATGCACATCCCCTACAGAGCTCTTAGGAATTTTCAATCTGTCCATCACTGACATGACAACAGTGGTGTTTTCAATGGTGGAACTTCTCTATAGTAGAAAGAGAAGTGCATATTATGATGCAATAGAACCCATCCAGGGCTAAAAGACTATGCCAAAAGTGTTTTGTGAATACTTGCTTATTCTTACACAGTTTAAGTGCCAACTGCACATACTGTAAATTAAATGCAAGGCAGTAAATTCAACTATTCTTGCAAGAAAACTTTAAAAATCTAATAGAAGTCAGAGGTGACTATAATTCAGCAAAGGATGTAAGATCATGAGGAGAAAAATGTCATCAATAATAATAAAGATTCACTCTACTTTCACAAATATTACTATGGACATAGCTATCTAGTACAAGTCACAATAATGTAATTGGCATCATGATACTTATACAAATGACAGAAATTGTGTCCCCAACTGACTCTCTGTAGACATCCAAGCTAATTACTTACTTGGTACCTAACTAAAATCATCCTATGTGCATTTTCTTAGAAGTAAATTAATTTAATACTATTTACCTATATTTTCTCGAAAGCAGGTCCCCTTAATGGGTGCTACTTTTCAAAGTACACTTTCTCTGTCTATACTCCTTGTTGGCATAAGCTCTTTATTATCAGGAGTTGAGTATTTAAGCAAAAGCATTCAGAAAGCACAAGATTATTCTAGGATAAATATGTCTAGTGTCGACTTAATCTAGGATTCCTATATTGCATCTGTAAAAATCCACATATATCAGAGAAAACCCGATCTGTTACCATCTAGTAGTATGATTTTTGCAACTTTGATTTTTTTTATTACTGAAATTTAACATGAATAAAAATGAAACACATACACACACACACATTTTGAAGTAAACATTTTCAACCTACTTAATATTTCTTATAGCTTCTTTGTATATATAATTTTATGATATAATGTCAAATTTACATATTAAAAAAAACAGAATGCACATGATACTGTTAGCCAAAGTTATATAAAGATTGTTACATAAGCCACACTGCAGCTGGATGTCTAAAGTCACCAGATTTTGTTGTTCCACTTATAATAGGAGAATTTGCTGTGAAGTCAGTTAAAACAACACAGTAAGTTGTAAGCAACCTAAAAATAACAGCCAATTAAAACACATTTGTTCGTGTTTCTTAGAAGCAGTTAACCTATGATTTATATAACCTGAAGACAGGGGTGGGTTTCTACCGGTTCTGTCCACCTCTGTAGAATCGGTAGCTCTGAAGAACAGCAGAATATAGAACCGGTTCTATGTCTGCTGATGTTTTTGCCCACCTGCCCTGACCTTTATTTCCTGCGTTTTCAACTTTAGCTGCCGTGCAAGGCACAGCTGCAGTTAAAAAAAGCAGGAAAAAAGTACTTTTTCAAAAAAAATAAACCTGATATTTTTTCCTACTGAAAAATTGCTTTAAAAAAAAATTGCTTTCAAAATTTCTTTTAAAGGGAAAGAGCATGGCAGTGACATTCTCACATCAGTGTACGAGGTGTGCAAAACAGTACTTGCATTTAATTGTGCTCATACAGTGCTGTCTTGAGTCTTCAGAATCTGGAGGGGCAATATTGCTTTAAAAACACATGTAGAATATTCATGTATAATTAAAAATGTTAATTTCCCCCCAGACATTATTTTTTAAATAATGCTCAATTTTAACCACTGGTATAACAGAGCTTAATGACCTGGATGAGAGATAAACTGTCCATTATTTTCCTGTTTTATTATAAAACATTTCAGTACATGGAGAATACTGTAATTAAAAGATCTAAAATACTCTATTCCTGATTTCTCCATCTCTCTCTCTCTCTCTCTCTTGTTCAGAGTCAGATTCTGCAGGGCTTCCCTGGAATTCAGTGCCACCCAATTCCCTTGGGCCACACTTGTTTTCATTTCTAATTTGTCACCACATCTGCTGTGCTGGAGGAGTAGGGTCATATTTTGGTACAGAGCAGGGTAAGAGTGTGATAACAGAGCCCAGCTGAATGTGGGGCCAGAAGAGAAGCTTCTCATAATTGGAAGGAAGACAGATGTCCTTCCCCTGAATGAAAGAGGTGTTGTGAGAGGAAATTGTTGTTCAGAGAAACCCTGAGAACAGGAAAGAAAGGATTACCACAGCAGCTCTTAACAACGAGGGGGAGGAAATAGAACCTCCAGTGAACAATATTTGGTTTATTGGAAGAGGATGTTATAATCAGCACGAAAGGAATGTATAGAAATTACATCAATACCATTGGGGTTTATTCTTTGATAAGGGGGAGAAGGTTGGATGTTAAAGCAATGGATCTAGGTGTTTGTATTCAAGCAATTTTTCCAAGATAGGTATGCAAATACTGCAAACTTTAAAAAAATGCCTGACATTAAAACAAATATTTTAATATAAGAATAAAATTAGAAGATTAACCATCTTAGAAACTA